CCAGCATAGTTTCAACTCCTAGATACTCCAGATAGAAGCCTGCATTTCAAATAAGTACAGTTAAACGCATAAAGGCATACTTAAAATTTTAGCATGCTCATTGGTATTAGAATTAGCAATACAGCAAAAATATCCTATATTTCATAGCAGTTGAATATGAAACCAATGAGCCCAAAGGAAGGAGAAGCGATTTCTTATAAAAAAAATTACCTCAGAATGCAAACAAACATACCTGCTAAGATTATCATCATCAACTTTGCCCAGTGTACAACAACACCACACCCACAACATCCTCATTGGCATAAGATGAGAAGCCTGAGTTCCTTGATAACTCTTGAGCTGGCAAACATACCACAGCAGATTCTTTGTGCTGCAGTATTTGTTCAATAATCTCATTCTCATTTCCCGGGGAGCATCTGTCCCCATCACCAATCTTGGGTGTGTTACAGGACATAGATTCCCCAATAATAACTACGAATAGGAATAAAAATCCAAATGAAACTTGCTCCTCATTAACACAAAATTAATATGGAAAAGGGAATGAAGAGCATTGTCAGTGGAAAGAGATTGAAGTTTAACACTTTGGAAGGTTATGGCATTAGTATCAACAATGAGCCATGACCATCATCACTAAAACCTTGTTTTCTTTAACTAATTGGTAAAAATAGTTCTACATTTGGGATTCTCTTAGGGTTTGTTTGTTTGGTTGGGAGGGAGGGGAGGGGCCCGGACTCCCCTCCCCTCCCCTCACCTCCCCCTCCCCCCCTCCCCTCCCCTTCCTCCTCTTGAACCAAACAGACCCTTAGTGGCAACAACAACACAGCCAATATTTTATTCAGTTATTATTGGAAAATATAAAAAACAACTAGCAACGAACAGTTTGAAGCTTACAATGATTAAATTACGCACCTCACAGAACAGGGTCACTTGTATGCCCATGACTAGGAATCCGTTTGCCAGCCAAAGATAAAAAATGCCTTAAAGGTATGAACAAATTTACCATGCAAATTTCATTAAAAAAAAATTAAAAATACCCTTGCAAATCAAGAATGGAATCATCTACTTTGTTTTTTTTCTTCCCTCAGAAAATTTTAGGCTGTCCTCATGCTTCTTGATTTTCATCCCCAACATTTGCAGATCACCTTGAAGTTTCTACAGGCACTTGTAATTATGGGAATAGTTTGTGATATGTATACCACTAAATCCATATCAGGAAACGTAATTAAAGGGTATATCTAGGATCAGATTCCATGAAATTCCATAGCTCAAATTTCTCATCCCAGTTATTCACTCCCATAGATTGAATATGAAAGAGTGAAATTCAATTGAAATGCTGACGTGGCTTTTATTTAACAGTGGATATTCAACCTACGGCAATATACAGCTGAGATGGTGAGAGTGAGAAATTTACAGCATCAATTTCTGAAGGAATTTCAAAGGATCCAAATCTGTATATATCCAAAAGAAATATGATAAAGTAATTTGATTAACCAACAACCGGTGAAAAACTATCATCCTTTTCTACTGAAAGCAATAAAAAATGATATGACAACATTAGACATCCACAACCTGAGAATGCTGGATGATGGACTCTGCCTGTGAAAAAACCTCCATTTTGCACATCATTGTTTACATCTATAGTGGTTTCATTCAAGTCAACTTTCACCAATGCTTTGGAATTTTGGACGGCCAGAAGCTGCATAAGTAGATGTTAATTGCTTGTATAAATTCAGATGATGTTTGCAATGGGGAAAATTATTGTTTGAACTCATAAACAGCCTAACTCCTAAAATCTCAAGCACAAGCTAAACATTTTAATAAAGTGATACCATAAAGGATTGGATAACGTGTGATAGACACCCTTTTCCTTTATTTTATTTAATAGTGCAACGGAAATATTTAGGAACCTGGAAGAAAACTATCCCGATATTGATGGGGTAATGCATGTCAATATATTTTAAAAAAAAAAAAATTAACTCCCTGGCATCCAAGAAAAGCAGACAATGTTGATTATGACAAACCAAATTGAGCTTCAAAACAATGGTAAAAAGCAAATGAATTTGCCGTCAGCAGTGCACTTTTTCTGGAGCGTGTGGCATGGGTGAGAGAGAAAGAGAGAGATCAATTCAATAGTCAATGAATATAAGTTACCCGTTTGGACAGAGTTTTATGTGATTATATGCTGATGAGGAAAGATAATAATATTTCACTCAAAAAGAAGAAGAAGAAGAAGAAGATAATGTCGTCCAACATGTTGCAACCATTACCTACAATGACCATAATAAAATGGAACCTTAAAATCAACATTTAATTTCTGTCACGGTATAGGTTTGGGGTTCCACTGTTCAAACCAATAACTGAAACTGTTCAAGTCCCGCAATTCAAACCACCGACTGATACCAGATTCATTGGCATTACTGACAACAATCATGCCGCAGCCACCCAATGAATATCGAATGCAAAACTTCCCATGCAACAGGTAGTTTTGGAGAAACAGTACAAGCGTTTGGGCGATTCACCATTTTCCTTGGATTCAGTTTACCAAGGAAAAGGTTTCCGTAACTCACATTTATCTGATGAAATATCCCCAAATCGTAATGATGACAAAACCAGGATTATTCAATGTGCAATTAAAACTTCTATCATAAAACTTTCTCAATAGCATCTCCCAGACCATTCCAGTGTATGTTGATACGGTAGTTGTCAGTTAAACAAACTTTATTTTCTACTTTTTGTTATGGCACAATCAAGAATAGCCCCAAAATTGAGGAGTAAGAAAATAAAAACCGCCATTGCTGAACAAAATTGTTTCTTTGATGATTTTCCGAGCATTCCAAATGATAAAAATGGTCCAAAAAAACATGACTTCTCTTTGCGGGACCCCACCAAGTCAGTTTAAAAAAAAAAAAAACAGAGAAAACTACACGAATCACTCGATACAGGATACGATTGGCATCTGAATCTGGTGCACCGATTGACCCGTTCACGGATTGATAATCTCTGAAGATTAAAAACAGACATGCATTGCAAGCCCTAAGTTTCGCCTGGTTTGGGAGAAATTCGGGGGAAAGAAAGAGGAAGAGAAGTGAACAGTAATAATTGGACACCAAGATGAAATTCGAAGCTGAAGTAGAGTGGTGGTAGCTAAATAACAGATGGAGATGAAATTGGAAAATGACGAAGAGAGATAGAGAGAAATGCACCTTGTGGGAGGGCTGATACATGACTGAAGACTGGAATATGCGGACTGGGTCTGGGTGTGCTCGTTCTTTGCGGTATGCAGCTCTAAACTTCCAAGTACGAAGAGATGGGTTTCTCTCCGTTACTTCGGTTTCTCTCCTTTATTTTCTTTCTCTTTTTTTTTTTTTTTTACTGTAAATCTAAACTGTTTAATTAATTGTTTTAAAAAAAGTTATTAAATTTAAGTTATCAAACGTAATTTAACAATTCAAATTTACAGTGAACTCTCCTTTGTTCTCTCCATCGGTCAGCGATCGTCCCTCGCGCCTATAAACGCAAAGCGTCTCTCGCCTTCTCAGCACGCCCTTATAACGTACTGTCAACCCTAAGGGAGCCGCGAAAAAAACTGTTAAATTAAATGCTGTCATAAATTCATAATTCAACGAATAAATATTTGATTTAGTATATAATACTCACCCCGTCATTTTATATAAGAATCTTACAAAATTTAGGGAGATATTAATAATGTGTGATTTTCACAAATATTTTTGATAAATTCAACTCCCTACTATCTCTCATTAATCAAAATGAAGATTGATAGGGTGTTCCTATAAAAAAAAAGTTTATTTTTTTTTTGGGCCAACAGAGGATTGCCTTTTTTAAATGCATTTGGAAATGTTACAATTATTATTTACAAAATAAAATTTTCAAGTAATTTTAACTGCATCCATTAATTTACGTGATTCAGTTAAAAAGTTCTTATAAAAAAATATATTTTATTTATTTAAAAATGTAAGACATTTTTGAGGAGTTAAATGTTAAAAAATGAAAGGTATTTTTAATCTTTTGAGATTTAATCATTACCTTTTTTTTAAAAGTGCTCCTATTGATAATGATTTTATATTTATTGTAGAGTGTTTAATAGAGGTAAATATGAAAAAATAGGATTAGTTTGAAAGTATGTAATTACTTTATTGGAGATAAAATTCGATTAAAAATGTCTCACATTTTTAAATGGAGGGAGTATTATATTATTTATGAATAAGTAAAACATGGTTATGTTATTAAAAAAATTAATGACTCATAAATATTTACATTATTATTTATTAATATCGATTTTTTTGGTGAGATATAAAATTATTATACTTATAAAACATTTTAGTGTTTTTTGTAATTTTTTTTGCTGACATGACTATTATGGTCCTAGGAAGAAACAAAGAAATTAAAGATAGTTAAAAAAAAAAAAAACAACCCTTCTTTATTTACCAGCTCAAATGTGATATAGTGCCAGTGTGTTGCAATTTTTTAATTGAATAGATTATAATTGTATTTGTTTTCCATAATTAGAGGAAAGAGAAAAGAAAAGGATAAACAGATGGGTCAAACATTAAAAAATATGAAGCATTTTTTTTAAGTTAAATGTTGAAAATTATAAGATATTTTTAATTTTTAAATGTGTAATTAATAAGTTTTTTAAATATTATTAATAAATAAATTAATTAATTATTCACTTTTAAGTAAGACCCCTATTAAATAAAAACAAACATAAAAAATGATATAAATTTAAAAAAATTAATTAATTTGTTAAAGGTATGATTTAATTAAAAATAATTTATATTTTTTAAGGAAAGAAATATGTTCATATAATTATAAATATTCCTTCTCTTTCTTTCTTTCCATTTCACTGTTTATTACAATCAATGAGAGGGATATCTTTGCGTGCGGTCCATTTGTCAATCGATTTAAATTTTGAGGTGAAAGATTGCAATTGTCAATTTGACAGCACTGATTTATAAACTTGAGTTTTTTTTTTCCAATGAAAAAAATCTTCGTATTAAGAACAATAAACGAAGTCCCAAAATATTCACATTCTAAACTTGATCATTAGCTTGGTTTTTTAGGTGGAGCTTGATTATTAACTTTTGACAGTGAAAACAGCATATTCAATATGAAGAAAGTTACATGAACATGAATTCTTTTTCCTACTTATTTTAAATATCTTTTCTTTTGGTTACGAAATTATCATGATGATTTAGTGGTATCATTACACTCAACTGACTGACATCTTAACTTTAATCATCTTAATTTCATGATAGATGTTGTTTCTTTTAAAGATTTCATTGCTAGAAAATTTGATATAATGATCAATTTCATAAAATATAAAATGATTACATAGGAAATTTAAGTTAACTTAGAGTCAGTGAGGGCAGTTGAAAATGGAGTTTTTGGCCTCAAAGCTCAAGACTAGCAATGACAATTTAAAATAGTGTAGAACATGAAGTGCAAATAAAATTATGCAAATTAAATGCTCAACATTTTACCCACAAGCGCTTGATTCAATTAGTAAGAATCATATTAGCTTCATCAGAAGTTTCAAATTCAAATCCTAAAAATATAATAACGTTTAGTGGTAGAGCACCTAAAATGATCCCGACTTGGCGCAATCCAAATAAGTATGAGCTAATAATTTTGGACACCAGATTATTTATTATATAAAAAGGGGGGAGAGAGAGAGAGAGAGAGAGAGAGAGAGAGAGCTCCCATACTCTCTACTACCAAGTAGTCGGCAAGTTTGATAAGTTCTGAGCTACAGAATTTGACCCAAAATGCTACTACATAAATTAATGCGTGCTCTATAGCAATAAATGTTCAAAACCCGCTATGCAAAAGCTATATAATGCATATTCAATATTCAGAGTGGCAGTCTTTTTTTTCCTTGTCAACCATATTCACAGGAGCTTATTCATGTAAAATTGAGCTGTCCGTTATACTGGGTTTATATTCCAACAATTGGTTTTCGATCATAGGCCCCGAGTCATCCATAATCTTCCCATATCGGCGTTGTCTTCTGCGGAACTTCTTCAGGTGCTTATCGTGCAATTCAATCACATTTCTTATATCATCCTCAAGGCCCGTTAACTTATCCCTCAGTTCCCCAATCTTAGCTATCATTTTTCTAGTCTCTGGAGTGGCAAGCACCGGACTCTCAAGAGGAAAGCATATTGAAGGATTCCTGCAGGAAAGAATGAGTAAAGTGAGTTATAGTTCACTATCATCCTTGTCATATCACAAACATCTGGAGAACTGAATACAGATGCTACTTGGAATTAGATTTGAATCATCATGTTAATGACAAATCTCCATCAATGTCAAATCCGAACACTTGTTCACTGTAAGTCAAGGGGCATTTTCCGTTTTCGCTCACACCTCAACAACACATCACCCACTGGAGAGTATTGAACACATAAATGACAAGAAATAGAAGCAGGATAAACACCTATGGACATAGTGAAGAACAGATTTAGAATCTGGCTTGAAAAGCGATAAGTTGCATTCAGTGCCTCATCAAATTAGAATGACAGATTAAGAAATGGACAAATAGATGGGATGACAATCTCAAGATCGCGCTTCCTTGATTCAGTCATTCCAATTTCGTTAACTCATTTAGTTTTCCTCCCTACAGAAATAAAAATATTTAGAAGCATGAAAAAAAGAAAAACACATGGTCACAAACACTAAATGTAGGCTCTGAACAAGATATACGGCATGAAATGCATGACAGCTGGATAATATACATACACACAACAGCCAGAGAGATATATACCCGTAACCAAGAGAGATTAGTCCACGTTCTCTTACAATGCCGCCATCTAGTGAAACAGCTCCATCCTCTATACAGGCACGAGCAGCCATCATATGCTCCCTTGTTTCATAAACTTGGAGCTTCCTGAATAGACTGAAAAGCACAGTCTCCCGGAGACCATGTCCCGTAGAAGTCCTTGTTTGCAAATGATGATCATCCAGCTCAATCATATTAACAGCATAACCCAAAAAACCTGCCGGCATACTGCCATTTGGCAAAGTAGGATATGGCAAGGTCAGCTTCCTCTGAGGGTCATGTCCTTGGCAACGCCCATTGTAAGGCCTGTCATGTACATATGCATGGGCATAACACTTTAAAATGCAGGAAAAAAAACATAGAAATTTGGCCCCAGCTCCCAGACTTGTGTGTTTCACGCTTTCATTGAAAAAGATAATCCATACAACAATTTTTTTTTAAAAATGCAAAGCTCACATTACCTTATATCTTCAAGGCACAAAACAAGGAAACGCCTACATATAACTTTTCCAAGTGTGGCTGCTTCAGCATGTAAAGCAAGTGTAGAATCAACTTCTCCACTTTGTGTATACCTCTCAAGAGCACTTGCAGCATCAAAGGTTCTACAAACGACAGACAGCATCTTATCTTCTCCAAGATACTCTGCTAATATTCTGCAGACAAGATACTTAGAACATGGTTAGAAGTAGATAGAAATAATTTTCCTCTATATCAGCAACGAGAGAAACAATGAAGGTAAAAGAGCAAGACCTGCTAAGCTCAGGGCTCTGAACAGTACCAAGAAGTGCAACCAGGTTTATTATATCGTTCATGATAGACTTCTGTGGCATTTGGTTCGGCAAGAGACTGCAGATAACAGCAGCTGCTGAGTTTTCCATGCATTGTATTCTTTCCTTCAGTTCATCTTTGGTGAATAGACAATTTATATTACTCAATTGACGAGGACCAACCTTTTCTGTGAATTAAGATAAGCACAATCAACTGGGTCATTGCTTTATTTTCCATCAACTTCTTAGATCAATGAGTCATAAAGAACCAAGCATAATCCATGCAGAAACGCACAAGAGCACAGGTGCAACAATTGAGACGGAAAGGCCCAAAATGCAAAAGGACTATTTAGGAAAATTATTCTAGACATTATCTATGTAGAGTATAATGGTGTCGTATAATTTATATAATTGATCCTACCTAGTAGAATAAGATTTCTTCTTGTTGTTGTTGGATCTAAATTATATTGACCTTTAATTGCCAAAATGCCCTAAATAAGGTTTTTTTTAACAAAAATTACAACATCAATGATGAAACTAGATATGATATATTACTTTCAATTTGATTACTCAAAAAAATTACACATTTTTTTGGAGCTGTTAACTGTTAAGTATAATTTGTTTGTGATTAGCTATATATATATACATAGAGAGAACCTTGCAACTCCAACACCTCTTGCTCTGTTTTAGCCTTGAGATTATTAAGATCAAGAAGCGTCGTTTCAATTTGTCCAATATCTTGACCAATCTTGAGGATGTCTTGAAGTTCCTGCAAAATAGATGCATCTTAATACACAACTACAGTTGCGACAGAAGATGGAATTTAATGCAATTAACATTTCCATATCTTCTTTCCATATAGTATTGTCAAAAATGGAAGTAAAGCATGTTATCCGTTTGTCAAAAAGTAGATCAAGTAAAGTCTGTAAACTGCAGGCAATTGACATTCTTTATCGATAATCTGACTTATAATACTTTGCATGTGTGTTAACTTGAACTAAAATTTTATGAGTTGTTTACTTAAATATTTTTTTTAAAAAAATTGATGGATTCTTTCATGTTCAGGCTTTGATATGTTGTCTTTGGTTAGAGAAAAGTGCGCGCGCGCGTATATTGGTTTCGTTCATCATTTCATCTTATGCATGTGAGCTCCACTTTCAATTTTTTTTTTTTATTGCCAACTATACTAACATGACCAATATAAATTAGGATCGATATAAATTAATTTAAGCATGATCCTTTTTATGTTATTATTGAATTCAATTAGGATCAATATAAATTAAAATAGAAAAAATATGGTCATTGATTCCTACACTTTAGCATGTTTTGAATAGTCTTTAGTTTCAGTTACGATATTTTAAATATGACAACAGTGTCAGATAATTCAATGGAAACAAAATTACTCTGATCCCAAACAAAGATATTTAATTCCATTAAACAAGTTTATCGTATGAGCTTTCGTGCATGTTGAAACACAGACCACCTCCCATTCCATCTAGAACGTCTACGTAAAAGGGTAAAAACATAGCTGAAAATATTTCTTGTACCTCATCCTCATTTACAAAGGAGATCACTAAGTTCTTATCTTGATTAAATGATGACAAGTCCTCCAGTTGCATCATCCTCTTATCTAAATATGGAAATTGGCTGTCATCATGCTCCACTTTTGGAGCGTTTGCAATAGGGACCTGCACCCAAGTCCAACCAATTATACCATAGCATTTGGTTAAAATTTAGAGAAGATATTATTTTTCCAACCTCAACAGTTATGTTTAGCTCTGGATACTGAGAGTGAGCGGCTGAAAAGCAAAAGGTCTTTTCATCTGGTGGAATGGATATCGCATGGACAGTGCAGCACCCGTGCTCGAAAGTGTATTGGATAAATTCCTGCGCTTGAATAGACACTGACTTGATTATAAGCATATGAGATTGGCCATCTTTATCATTGTGATGAATATCCATATCTACATCTCCATCAGGATCAACAACTTCAAAAACAAGGTTTTCCAATTGACCGCCAGCAATACAGATATCAGGCAACTGAAAAGCATGCATATAAAATTGTTCTTAAATGACAACGAAAAAATGCACATATTTAAAACCACTAGAAATAAGAACATATAAATCGTCAATATGCAACATTTTCAAAACCAACCTTGGATGCGATTCTCAATTTCCTCCTCACAGTCGAAAATTTCTGCTCAAAAACTATTTTGTCTTCAAACAGAACAGATAGGGATGCTGTACAATGTAGAACGCAAATGAGACTAGAAGTAACAAAACACAACCGCACTAATCATTGAACAGCCATGAATATCTTTCTTTCAATGAGAAACAGCCATGGCATTTTGATAGAGCTGGTGATTCCCTAAAGATTTGGACATCATTTCCTAAGGCGTATGGAAAACAATCTAGGAAGGGAAGTGATTTAAGAGAAGACTAATACCAGTAGTCAAGAGATTTATACCCAGGTTTACAACTGTCAGATTAAAATGGTAAAAGACAAGTCAGGTTAGGTGTAGCCAGAGGTATGGGCAGTGTTGGTAAGGGCAATGACTACTTTCTGGGGTGTAAGATTCATCCTTTCTGATAAGGGGTGAGAGGGTTCAGTCTCTTGAAGAGGAACTGTGTTGGGAGAGTTCTGGCCTCTCGAAAGTCCAGAGTCTGTGTCTTTTGCTTTGTTCTTATTTTGTAATTGTTATTTTGATTGTAATTTCAGTATCTGGGTGTCAAAAGAGTCGTGGGTTGGCTTGAGTTCCGTCGTAATCTGTTTTAGTTGTGCAGTAAAAGTACTATCCATCCCAAGTTAAATTCCATTTCCTTGCTGTCTATTTCTGGCTTTTGTCTGTTATTAGCTTATTACAGCTGAGGGCTCAAACAGTCATTCCCAAAACCCTCATAAAGGAAACTAGCGCAAAGATGGTGCTAACAATAGTGCATTCGGAAGTTTCAGGATGCAGGCCAAGAAATATGGAAGAAACGTTAACCCTGATCTAATGTTGAAATTAGATATTAATTGATGAGATGAATTGCAGCAAATTTATGATTTTCATACCATGTTCTCCGAAACCTGCAATCAACTTCAGTAGACCACTGAGGTCAATTTTTCCATTAGCATCAACCTGAAAATCAAAAGTAAGGGGAAAAAAATTCCTGTTAGCGATCATGCATACAATTAAATCTCTACTGTGTCTCGCCCGTTTTAGGCCAGGAACACTTCAATCCGATGCTCCAAGATTTGCACACCTTTTTTAGATAAAGAGTCAATTTTATCAAACAATACAAAAAGCAGTTTTTATACATCCCCAGAACAGAATTAATTCTTCATAAATAAAAAATATGTCGAAGATTGCTAGAGCAACGTGACCTTTCGTGTCATGCCCACATGATCTTCAATGACGAAGTTTGACAAAGACAAAGTAACCTCTGAACCTTTAGACACGTGGTTTCCATATGCATCAAACATCTTAAAGGTAAACATTAATAAAAAAGTTAGCAAGAAAATTCAAGAGCGGGACAATTACTTCCAAGTTCCAATATATTGAAAGTAGAGACTCAGCATAAAATAAAGAATGACAAATATATGGGTAAAAAGTCTATCTCCAAATTAGAGGAGCAACTTGTAAGCATTTATGAATAGGAGCTCACTGGCTACGACTTTCTGAAGTTATCCTGGGCAAAAGTATTCATTGTACCACTTGATTGCATTAATCATTAGAACGAAAAGCAATCAATGCAAGTGAAAAACAATTCCTTTCAAGATGTCAACAAATTAAGAATATATAGATGTGTGCCTGTTTCTACAGAAAAATTGAATAATTATGGACATATTAAGTTATTTTTCCGTGGTGGATGAAAATAACTATCATATTCCTACATGGTTGATTACATGTTAGTTCTCTAGTTTAACCAGCTCCACATGAGAAACAAAAACAATTAAAAACAGACATCAGGAAAAGGTAGCAGCATTCAAATTTACCTACCTCCAATACGAACTCCTTAAACACATAACCAGGAAGCAGCTGGTTTTTCACTATTGGTGACCGGAGTTCAACACGCTTAAGAGTGGAAGGCTTCACAATCACTCTTTCCTCACAATTTTTACAGCTTGATTGGATCTAGCAGGTTAAAATCCAACACAAAATATTGATTTGTCAATGACACATTTAAAATAAGAGCTTTTTTTTTTTGAAAAAAATAAAAGGTTTCCATGCCTTCTTACAAGAGAGAATGAAAACACGTAAGCACCAGCTTTGTGAAATAAATCAGGGAACTTGCATCCTAGGGGAAGAAGTATAAGCCATTAAGCCCTTTATAAGCTCCTGATGACACGCGTTCTGAAAGAATAACATCCTGGGAATTTTTGCTTTCATCCTTAAATTTGACTTCCATAGTCATCTCCGTATTGCTCTTGAAAATACCCTTCGGGTCTAACTTTTCTGCATTGCCAGGCATAAAATTTGTGGGCCTAACAACTGCCACAACATGGGTTGGGGGAACTTGACCAGCAAAAATGGGGGTATTAATAGGTAATGTCTGTAGACGAAAATGAAATGTTCCCAAGAAATTAAACTTCTGTAAGGAAAAACAAAGGAAATAAAATAGAATGTAGAAGACAGGAAATGTTGACTATTCCAGGTCCTCAACCAAAATTAGTCTCTTAGAGCCAGAGAATTCAATAATAGTAGTTCTTGAGGAACAAGGTCACACAGTCATTGAGAAAAGAGAAGGTGGAGGGTCAAAATCTAAAATACTAACCCCATCAACCTCCAATTGCTGACAATGTGGAACACTCAGCAGCTCGACAATAGCAGGAGATTTCTGTTGTTTCTGATGAAGCTGACTATCCCATTCAATGCTTTCAATAGGTACAATCTGGTACATCCGTTCATATTTCTATGTGCTAAAAAAAATCTCAAATTATGGCCAAGAAGGATAAACTTGCAGAGTAAGCAATAACCTTTCCAGAGTCAATCACGCTTAAAGGTAAGGATAAAGAACTCCCAAGGTCCAGATTTGCATGTTCATCATCCACGGAAAGGACACAGCCATTGTCATTCGGGACATCCATTGACCTGCAATATAAACACAACAAATACTGAGAAACTGACGCAAGGAATCATATTATTATTAAATAAAGTTCTTTTAATGATAACAATGACTTACCTACATATGATTCGGGCCTCTCCTATTAACAAATAAACCAAAGAGAGTCATATTCTTTATATTATGAAGAACCCACAAGTTAGAAATAGAATTTTCACAAGAATGTGATGCTACTGTCATAATGATATTATAAGCATCTCAAAAAATAATATAAATCGTCATTTCCCCCGGCAGTGGGAAGAAGTAGCTTAGAATTTGAACGACAATTTTAGATAACAATCAATAGACATACACTGTAATTATGGTAAAAATTTAAACTCTACCCCCTCCGCACCACGCATCAAGGGTTTACCATAAAAGCAACAGACATTGTATGAAATAACCAAAAGTGATATAGGATTACCTACAACTGCAAAATCACTTCTACTCTCTTTTTCGGTGACAGACTTCCGTTTATGGTTAGAGTTCAACATGAGAAAAAATAAATAATAATTTATGCTCGAGAAGATAATCACTTCTACAACTACAAAATCACTTCCATTTATTTCATAATTTATGCTCGAGAAGATATTTTAAACCATGGATATAGTTCAACAAGTTCTTGTATATTGCACTACCATGATAACTGTTCTTCTGAATATCATTACTACTTATGTTTTGAAGTAATAAATTAAGGGGCAAATATACTAACTTTCATTGCTAACAAAATTTATTTCTCGTTCATAAAATGAGTTATATGAATAAATATATATTCTTAGTATTATTTTAGAAATCAACTTTAAATTTTTAAGAATGCCTATTTATATATTACGTCCGAAACAGTAATTTATGCAGTATCGTGAAGGAAGGGGAGGGGGTGGTGCGGTCTATTATCTACGAGCTTACCCCCAGCGTCCCCTTCGAATCCATCCAGCAGGAAATATTCTATAGTTGCATAAATATTGTGGCGGCGCCCCGCGCATGCTCCCTTCAGTAATTTGATTTTCTCACCACGATTCCATGATTTTTCCTTTCGCTTCAACTTCTGATGAACCCTTACAACTGCACGTAATTGAGGCAATAAAATGATAGATAAATACAGATTTAAATACAGATTTAATCATGTCCAGAAGAGATTCCCACTATTCCATGATTTGTTTGCCTACTGCAAAAAGTTCATAAAGAAAGAAACCCATTGAAAGACATCAAGTGGAAACTAGAATATGATCAGTTAATCATTTTTAACTAACCATCAGAAGAGATGCCGAGTGCCTTTTTGTTTGGCGGGGAGACGATAATAACTGGCTGATCCTCACCAGAATCGACTTCTTCATCATACCGCTGATGCATTTGAAAAATCCAATCTTGATATTCCCTTTCCAGCTGGGACGGAGTTAACAGCTTCCCAGCTCTACGAATTTCAACTACAACATCTAGTGATTTAAAATAACTGATGAGTCCGATGTTTTCTTCCCAGCTTCCCAGAAACAAGGCAGCAAAGCTGAACTAGAGTCATGAGTAAAACAAATAAAGGGAGATTACCACTCTCTTTCTCAGGAACTTTACTGCCTATTTTCTTCAAAGCAGAGGTAAAGGGATTGTGGTGAGCTAGATCAGTCTGAAAAAACATGTATTACTTAATTGTCATTATGTACCATTCCCCGCAAATATAGTTCCGCTTGCACATATGTTTGTTGCACGTGTTGCGTGACCGTGTCAGTGAATACAGAGAAATTAATAACAAATGCATGACAAATCCAGGAAATATGAGAGACAAGCACGGTGTACAAGTATAGCTTGTATAACCTTGGATGGTGTTGGCTTGAAACCTCCGTCGGTCTCTGCAAAACACAAAGTTCTAGATGAGGACTCAGAATTTAGCAAACTAAATTAATTGCGCCCAAGAAAGCAATAGTGTGGTGACGCGGTACCTATAAAGCATTTCACCCTTAAACAACATCTCTTCAACTGGTGAGCCCTGTTCCCTTTTTGTTCCTCAAATCCATAAAAGGAAGCATATCCTGTGGTAAAGAGAGAAAAATCTCAAGAGCAATCACACGTATTCAGATTATGTCTGAAGATAGCATCTTGTACGAAAGAAAAAGCAGTTGAGGTGAGCAAATGACACACATAACAACTTCCAGCTGACTCCTTGATTAGCTACTGACTTTGGGAATGATGCCTAACTAGCCAGCTAACTTACGGTCAAATAGATCCATGTTTTCTTTAATTCCGTTTGTTATTTAAAGTAGTGATCGTTGAGTGTGACTCACAAACCCTTATCTCCAGAATCAAATCAATAATGGGATATAATAATCCATGATCAAGCATATAAAATAGCTAGGAGTATTAAGGTACAGCCAAAAAAAAAAAAAAAGATACAAACTCGAAGCCAATGATGAACTTTTACCCAACGAGCATCTGGAAGTAGACGACCCAGCCGACGAACAGAGACACGACTAAAGTTTTGGAAGTCCTCTTTAGTTTCAAAACCGTCAGCCTTCAACTTCTCCAAGACCCTCTCAATATTCTCCTTTCCCTGAAATTTAAAAAATCTTTCCTTTTTACTCTTAAATTTGTAAATTGTGAATTATAGAAAACGGGTTATGTCTCGCTTTTACCTCTCTGAATGGGAGATACACCAACCTCAGACGTGCATTTGCTTCTCGAGATGATCTTGACCCTAAAACAATGATTTTGAAGTAGAATTAAACATTGGCAATTTTTCTGACAGTCCATCAAACATTTATGTAATGAAATGGTACAAACACACGGCACATCATGGCGTATAAAAATTGAATGGGTTACCTGGACTTCTCGTGCTGTCAGAATGATGCATAGAGGAAAAATGAAGCTGTAAAACAAACTCAGGGCCATTGCAAGAGTGCCAATTGGTGATTGCAACCTCCCCACCTTCAACTTCCGTCAAATCCACACCATTAACCTGTGAAATTAGCAGGTCCAATCTTACTTACATATTAGAGTAAACTAGACAACTAGGCATGAGTCCCATGCATTACGTAAAATCCTCTCTCTCTCTCTCTCTCTCTTGGCAATACATAGGCAAGCATCAGCTTGAGAAAAACGGATACATAAAATCTAAAAAATAAATAAAAATAAAAATAAGTGTTCGAGGTTCATAACTTATAAATAATAATTGTTTTGATACGTGTGTATATCTTTTATTTTATTATAAGACACTTTTAATTATTTCATGCATTTTAAAAAAAATTCTTTTATATTATAAAAATATATTTTTATTTTTACCCTTAATTTTAAACAGCAATACAATTATATTAAGTATTTTCACGTTAATAAAAAAGGGTGAAATTAAAATTAAAAGCTGAGAGAGTATGTTATATATTGACAGTTTATTGTTGTTATTTTATTGCTCAAGTATTTTGGTAATCATGCATTGCAAGCTCATCTTGACTTTTTTCTCATCCACAGCTAGTCGTATAATTTTAAGATTTACATACGATCTCATATAATAAATGAAAGGGTGTAAAACTAACCATATCTTTTTTTAATACAAATTAAGGGAGGCAATATGGTAAGAGAGCAGAAAATAAATCCAAAAATAAAACCTCGTAAAAAATGTTTTGGTAGACTAAACTCCGGTATTTGTAAGAATCTTATAATTAATGTGACATTTTAGAGGAGTATTTGGTCAGCTGCCATTAAGTGGAAAAAGGAATAGAATGACAAGACAGGGAAAATGCAATTAGATTGCATCCAATTCTTATGCATCAATTCTGACAGATTACTGAATTTCATAACATTGATTTGATAATGAGCTATTGAAATAATAATGCTAACGCAAGAACCTGGAACTCTATTGGTGTAGTAGTCTTCCTTGTCTTAGACATGTCATCACACTGCAGGAAAGGATTGCTTTAGTAGACAACAGATAACACTGTACGACCATCTTAATGTCAATGATTCTCGTTATAAAGCCAAAGCAGCATATAAGCCAACAAAGGATTTCCTCCGAACCTGAATGTAGGGGAAATATATGTCCTTCAGGTGGCACTGAAGTTTGGAGAGGTTACCCTTGAAGTCTGAACAGAAAATCTCAACCTGCAAATAAATTTCAAATTATTATAACAACCAACTGAATTTGCATGGCCAAGAAAATATTTGATGTTTAAACTAGACGCCCAAGTAAATATAAAATGAAGAGAAATAAGGGCAATTTTGTCAGATATGCACCTTCATACTATTTTATGACTCGTTGATAAATAAAAGTATATTGATAAGACTTGTATAATGAAACTGCAGCATATGATAAAATATCCTGATATCAAAACATTCATAGGCACCAAACGTTTTTATGAAGTTTAGGGAGCGCATCATCTCAGAAGACAGAAGATTAATTACCCCCCATTCTCGGGGAAAAAAAATTAATCAACAATGACGGCAAAAATAAAGGGTTTGTGAAATCAAGGTCAGCGTCGAATGTTAATGTTCTGAATAAGAACATCCGCGAGCGAAATGCGGGTATTGTTTATCCTAATTATCACAACGTGGCAAAAGAGAGTTAAATTTCATGGATACAAATTATGTACAGGAGTAAATAACTTGGCGGGAAATAACGACTAACTAATTTACAAAACTGTTTTCAATGAACTCTGGTAAAAGTTATCCGAATCTAATACTTACATTCATATGTAATGTAACATAGAAGCAAACAGAAAAGGATATGAAACTTGATATGAAACTTATAAAAACCTAGTTAAATAAATGATCAGGTGGTGGCACTACTTCTAAGGCACAAAAAGTGGCAATAGACAAAATTTGAAGTGTTCAAAAAGAAATTCAAAGTGTCATAAACGTGAACTGTTCGTGTGCGTAGAATAAGACAGCTCACTTTCTAAAATATTTGTCGCATTTGAGAACAAAAGTCAAATCCCCAGGGTTATATAAAAAGAAGAAAGGGGAAAAAAAACGAGGAGAAGAAATAAAAGATCATGGGCACTAACTACCTTTGTGAAACTGCCATGATTTGAATCCCTGACTTCTTCCTCTGAGGGATCCCTGATGCCACCATCAGTCTAAAATGACAGAAAAATAAACAAAAGTAACGGAATACCGTTTGCTAACATCCCAAACAAATAGAAGTATGCACAAAAAAATATTGTACTGATGAGGAATCATGATTACCTTCCAAGTTAGATCGGAGTTAGACGGACTTAGCAAAGCTTCTCTCTCAAGATGCAACATGTAGACTTTCTTGATGTGTTTTGTCTTGGAGGAAACCACGGTCCGCCTATAAAAGAATAAAATATAGAGGATAGGGGGGGGGGGAGATAGGAACTCAGAGTATAGAGTGCTTAAACAAAAACACAGGTGAAAAATGGAAATTCGTTTAAAAATTACCGCCCCAAATGCATAGATGCAATAGGTCCACCGTATCCAAACATCCCAAAATAAGGCTGCACAGTCACCCCAAATAAATGGAGAAAGCTTAGAAGATGACACGCATGGGCAAACTTAAGCTACCATTGTGGCAAGAATGTAATGAATGTCGGAGCACAAATTGTAATCCACAAAAATTATTCAATAATCCCTATTACTAAGATACACCGTGCAGGAATATTAGAAGGCCTGCCCTGCAGGCTACAGGATAGGAGTAGTCAGACTGTTTAGGAAAATTTAGGAATTCAGGATGCAATTAAAACAAAAGAACAGAGAGTCCTGAAAATTAATGGTACCTTCAAATATGGAGGTTTCCCCCCTATAGCGAGTGATTTATATGATCTATGAAGTGAAGCGCCCATCTTACCCCTGAGAAGAAGAAAAGAATTCAAAATAAAGTGAATGCGTAAAACAATCTAAGATTTTTATCTCCTCAAATCTGATTCTTATCCTGGAAAGTCAATTTCAACATGGGAGGCAGCAAATACTCGTATAGTTTTAAATTCCCAGATCACACAATAGCAATTTCAAACACACGAGTATATTGAATCAAAAATTAAGACTGGTTTCAAATCTCGGTATTCCATGAAACTTATAGCACAGTTTGAACATAGGTCCCACAACTTTTTCTCCTCTAGTCCCTAATCCTAACACCTGGGCACAGAGTTATGCGGCCTTCAATAACGTTGTCCGTGTCCGGAAACAACCGACTTGCAAACATCGCAATTTTAAGAAATTCACAAAATAAAAAATCACATACCACTTCACTAAGGAATTTTCATCAGTGTCATCCATTCCGGAGCCAGTGTCAAAGATTGAAATCTTATCCCCATCCAGATCTATTCTGCAAATAAAGAAAAATGAACATCACCGTGCTAAGAGATCAACCAAACAATAGCACATTAATTAGGTGCAATCATCAGGCAATATTTATTCAAACAAATACAACTACCAAAACCGTAATTATTAATTCCCTAGCATTTGGTTACTTGGTTAACGGTGCAACTTCCCCGTAGCATCACTGTATCATGCTACAGAAACAATTTTCATGCAAGTGTAGCTCATGTAATATGCAGCATATAATTAAAACAACAACAGCACAAACTAATTTGAGTATTTTGCATAAGCTACGACCATTCTCAGAGCATGATATGAGATGACTGGAATGGCATGCTCCTCTCTTGAGCTGTTATACGGTTGACAAAGAAACGGAGAAGATGACAGGGAAATCAAAGGTATAGCTCAATGATAATTCCAATGGTGTTGCTTTTGATGACAGGGAAAGTGTTAGTTTAGATGTGATCATCAGATTAAGCTTAAATTCAAATATTTTTGTTAAGCATAAATGTATTTTATGATTTAAAAATGTAATGCTATAATTTGTAAATGAGTATTATATTATGTGTTGCTAAGAAGTTTTTAACGTGATTTTCACTTTCTATATATATTAGTTATTATCAAATAAATTTTGAATTCCTTTTCAAATCGTATACTATAGTTTTATGTAATTTGTGCAGAACAAAATGCTTAATAATATTATACTGTATTGCTTCAAAAAAAAAAAAAAAAACACTTAGACAACGTAACTTGGTGCAATTTGATGCTTGAAAACTGGAAAATCATCAAACTGCTGGCATACCTAACAAGTCTTCTCTCATTTTCCCGATTATACCACACAGCTTGCAATGAATTATCCTGATATATAAACAGAAGTGTCGGTGTCAAAATCTTCAATATTGCATTTGGAAATAATGAGTTTATTTTCTCAGTTGTGTCAAAGATCTCACAATCAAGTCTGCAAGAGCTGTTTCGAAAGTGTATTCTTCGGGAAGCTCCAACAGCAGATTAGTATCTGGTGTTAAATCCCACATATTCTGCATATTGAACACGACTTTAACGTACGTAGCATGGAACAAAGGATGTTCAGAGAAACCAAAACCATAATCTGATTACCGATTTACCGTTTAAAATATACACTGAGACAGACAAGCCTAGGAAACAGAAAACTAAGGAACATGAACAAGAAAAGTCCTTATAGAATACGAACCTTGAAAGTGCAGGCAATGTCACCGCACTCATCCTAATTCAGAGAGATTAAAAACGCATCATCAGCAAGTAGGAAAAATAACGCCATCAAGCGTAACATAAATTTAAAGAAAGATAATTGCATAAAATCCTAGGGATGTCTGCAAAGTGATAGAGCTAGTTATTTTTTCCCTAAAAACAAAAACTAAGAAAGATCAGGATCCCGCAATTTCAATTCTGTGCTTGACCAGTTCGGTAATAAGATTTTAAACCGGTAAACCTTTCCAATGACGCCGTTGTTGTTGTCGTCGTCGTCACTTATGTATACTTTTCTCTTTCTAGAGCCCCTATATTTTTTCAATGACCCTTCCATAACGTCAAAGCCTTCGAATCTGTAAACAGACGAACAGAACTGACAGAAGTAAAGAACTTCTAATTATTTTCCCTGAAATCGTTGGAGCGAACAAGTTGATAACATAAACAGTAGAATGCTTTCGAAATCATTAAAAACCAGCACGTCCTTGGATTTTCGATATCTACTTTGCATTTAATGTACCCACGAAAAAAAAAAAAAAAAACCGGCTTTGCATGACTGCCAGGTGCAAAAGCACATAACAGTCAACCTCGAAGAATATATTCACGCAAATAAAAATACAAACAAAAAAATAATGGAAACTAATAGAGCTGAATAAATTATAAACAAACGACCCTGACTGAGCGTCTATTCTCATTTATATGAAAGAAAGAAGCTCTGTTTTGAAGATTAAAAAGACTGAAAACAAAGTTTCATACAGTTCAACAAGGGACACTTTTGGATACAGCTCGATCGTCGCGGGGCACTGAAGATTTTGCGAAGAACAACGCAGAGAACGCTATGGTTTTATATATATTGCAGAGAGAGAGAGAGAGGTCGGAAGAGCAAGCAACGGTTAGGAAAGGGGCGAGTGACTGAGGGAGCATTCACGGCAATGGGAAGCGAAGAGGCACTAAAGCACTGAGCTGTGTGTTTGCGACCCTGGTATGATGGAATCGGGAACGTCCGCGCATATCATGCCCCTCGCGCAGAAAAATAAGGTGGGGACCACTGGTGTCTGGGGACACTTGGTTTTCAATTTTTATTTTTTTCCCGCAACGCACTTGGACTAATCGAAGAAACAAACGGCCCAATAAAATACAGACAGACACGCGAAAATAACATATTATATCATGTTATAATTCTATTTGTCAGAAAAAAATTAGGCAGTAATTGTTAAAAATTTCGGGCAAACTGGTCTGGTGTATAAACTCCTCCCCCCGTTTAAATATACAATGTATTTTTAAAAAAATTAAATAATTAAAATTAAGATATAATCATTATTTTTTTTAAAGTGTTTCTATTAATAATGACTTTATATCTATTGTAAAGTGTTTAATAGAAGCAAATATAAAAAGATAGGGTTAATTTAAAATTAGGTAATTATTTTATTGAGAAGTGAGATTCAATTTAAAATGTCTTACATTTTTAACGGAGGGAGTATTATATTTAATATAATATAATATAATATTTAATATTTAATGAATGGTACAGAACATGCATGGTTTACGTTATTGAGGAAAGGATTTTTAATGTTTTTATGAAGTAATAACCCTCCTGTATGTCAGCATACTCTTCGGACTAAATTAAAATACATTAATATAAAGTGTTGATAACTCATTCATGATATTCAAAAATGTTAAATTTTTTAAAAAATTATATCTTCTTAATTTTATCATCATTAGATATTCTATATAAGTAATTTGATAATAATAATTAAAATTTTAATGCATTATTTTTTTTGAAAAAAGTTATAAATGATATGGGGATATAGTTAAAAAAATAATTATAAAAATAATACTTATTTGTATTTTGGATCAAATAAAATTTTAAAAAAAAAATGCCTTATATTACAATATGAAGAAAATATCAATTAGGCAATTATCATTACCAAATGATATTTTCCAGTAATGGGCAAGCTTCAAGGTGACTGAGGGGGCTAGGTTGTACCTGTAAATACTAAATAGAATCATAGAAAGACCAACGAAACAGCTATAGTGGTCCCAAAAGGCAATGGTCTTGCTTCTCTCGTAATTGTAACATAAAAAAAGAAAGTATAAATCATGGCATTAATTTTTTTTATAAATTTTCTCTTTTATCCTATTAAATATTGGTGAAAAAAAAGTATATCATTAAAATATATATATATTTAATAAAGGTAAACTTAAAAGTTTATTAAATTTTAGATGAAAATAATAAGTTTAAAATCTTTCATATGTTAAAAGTAATTTATAAATATTATTAGAGGGAATATATTTACATTTCAATTTCGCAACCATCAATTACCTGCTAAAAGCGAAGCCACGAGAAATATCAAGTATGTATGAGTCTTCACCTAAAAGCACACCATTCCCCCTGCTCTTATCTTTGTTTTTTTGGATAAAACAGCAAATTTAGTTATAAATTATTTTTTTAAGAGTATTTAATAGCCTAAATTATAATCACAAACTTTTAAAAATGAAGCATCCAATAGCCCGCCGTTAACTTCAACTAACAAACATTATATGAGACCTATAATGACACATGGTACGACACAAGCACAACACATCAGCATGAAAAAGGTGTAAATTTAACCACGAATTATTTTTCGAAGAGCACTGGATAGCCTCTATTATAAAAAAACGGACCATCCAACACCTTCCCTCAATTTTGACCAAACATTGTTTATTTTCATACTTATAAAGCCCACAAAACATTAATCTCTTCAATTTTCTTGCATTTGTTCTCAATATAAGCTTTAAAAGGATATGTTCAATGAGTTCTTATCTAAAGATATTCACAAGGACAATACAAATAAAGTAGAAGCTGGATTTATTATGCATGTAAAAAGTTTGATTCTAACTTAATTTAGTCATGAATTATTTTTTTTATTTTGTTAGCGTCGTCTTCGTGAACATCTTTAGACAAAAACTCTCTGAACCTCTTCTTTTCAAGTTGAGATTGAGAACGAAGGCAAGAAAATGGAGAGATTAATGCTTTATATACCTCATAAGTTTGAAAATAAATTGTGTTTGGTCAAAATTGAGGGAAAGGTGTTGGATGATCCATTTTTTTATAGTAGAGGCTACCCAATGCTTCTCAGAAAATAGTTACATAATGTACGTTAGCTGAAGTTAATAATGAGCTATTGGATACTTCATTTTTAAAAGCTTGTGATTTATTTTATGCTATCTGATAATTTAGGCTACCAGATGCTCCTAAAAAAATAATTTGGGGCCAAATGTGCACTTTTACCCTTGTTTTTTGGGTGAAAATTAAAATACATTCATAATCAAAAATATGAAAATAAAGTCAGCGACTATGATGAGAGTCAAAAATCAATCATCATCGACCGTCTTTCAACAGCCAAGATGGTGGATAATCAAAAGAGCAAAAAGAGACCTCAACAAGATGAGCTTTTTCAGCTAGGTGATAAGCAGTATTAATAACATCCCTATGAACAAAGCTAATTGTAATAGACCAATTCCTATGAATTAAACCGACAGCATGAGAGATGAAGTTTTGAAGAGGATTATCGACGTTGGTGCCTCTAGTTATGAGATTTATAGCTTCAAGGCAATATGAATAGACTTATATTTTCTTGAAACCTTGATTCTAGCATAGTTCAAAGACTCGTGATGATGCCTATTAATTTAGCTACAATCGATGGTAAACTCCCAAGCTTGAAGCAAAAGCCCTTTACCCAAGTACCATTCTCGTCCATCATGTGCCCTCACAAGTAGCCATTCCATTTGCATGTACAAACCCATCCACATCAACTCTTATATAACCCTTTTCAGGAGGGCGCCATTTGTTAACATTGTTGTGTGGTGTTTTATGCAAGTTCATTTTACTCAGCATGTTAATATTAGGCAAAGCTTTCCAAATGCACTTATTTGCATCAACTCTCATAATAGGTTCCTCCTCTCCAAATAGGTTTGCGCATCTAGTGGTCCATATATAGTTCCCAGCATAAGTGAAGGTGATATGCCAAGTGACCTTCCTAGAAGATTCATAGCCCAGATCGTTCTTGGAGTTCCATTTAATCCAATCAAGACCTTGTAGTCTCATGAAAGCACTCCAATATTCCAGTTTGATGATCTGTCTCTAAGCATCTCGTGCAATTTTATAATCATGGACTATATGCATGTTTGTCTCCCCTTCGTTACAACCAAATGGGCACAAGCTTGTTGTTGTTAATCCCCTTTGTTTCCTTAGTTTTGTGGTGTGTATTATGTTTCTCCCTAAAAACCAAAGGAAGTTTTTCATCTTTTCCGGGATGCACCATCTCCATATTTTTGTCTATATGTTGCCTCTATTACTACTTGTACCTGCCAAATGAAATTCATATGTAGATTTAATGTTAAAATAGCCATCAATGGATGATTTTCACACAAATTTTTTTCCTCCCTCTCAAGACATTTGGTGTGTAGAGCTAGTGATTCTACTAATGATGGTGAAGTTGAACCAGTTTGCCATTTTGTTTATATCCCATGTACCATTGACAGCGATGAAATCATCAATATTAGCTTCACGATCCACAGGGGGATTAGTGCTTCTCACAAATTTAATTAATGGAGCACTAGCTGCAAACCAATTCTCATACCAGAATTTGGTGTGTTTACCCAGATGGCATATTTGGTTAAGCCCCTCAATGAATTTATCCCACATCTTGACTATGCTTTTCCAAGTTTTAGAGCAGTTCTTCCTTTTTATGATTGATGGTACATCATTTTGTCCACATTTATATTTTGATCTTAGTACTTTCAACCATAGCACTTCAGGATTAGTGACCAAATTCCAGCACGACTTGAGTATAAAAGCTTGATTTTGCCTTTGTAAATCTTTGACCCCCAATCCTCCTAATTCTTTTTTGCACTTAGCCGCATCCTATGAGACAAGATGAATCTTTTTTTCTCCATCACAACTTCCCCGCTCTTATCTTCGTTCACTATTCTCGCTACCTTCAAATACAAGCCACCATCAATCTACCTACCCACTTCTCTCCAATATTCAGACAGCATCCAATTTAATTAAATTAAATTTGATATTTAACTTTATAATTTGATTCAAAAACATATAGAAAGATAATTAAGATGTCAAAACTAAATAATGGCCCTAACAGGCTACCACCGCCAGGTAAAAAAATAAACAACCTAATATTATATCAGTGTTATATTTATGGGAAGGTAACTTGTTCTCAAGAGGCGGCAGATAGGATTTATAATTCCAATATAGTTTGCGTGGGCCGCTGGCTAGACGTTAGGTCCTGAGGTTGGTGGGGATTCAATGTCGAGTTCAAATTGTCCAAAGATGCATGCCGAGCCCAAGATCACTTCTGGATGTGTTTACTTGGATAGAATTTATTGCAGAATTAAAAAAAAGTTAAAAATTTATTTTGATGAGTGTTTTTATTTAATTATGTTTAAAATTTTTTTTATTCTTGTTTTTTTAAAAAAATAGAAACAACTTCAAATTATTTCTTTCTTATTTTTATAATAAATTATATTTGATTATCGAAAATTATAATTACTTTAATCAATTTCTATTATTAATCATCATCATTAACTATTTATAATTATTACTATCAGTCTATTTTTAATTTTAAAACTGTTTTTTAATTGATATAATAAAAAATATTTTATTTTATTTTAAAAAATAATTTTAAAATTTGTATTACAAAATAGTTTTAAAAAACAAAAGATAGAACAAAAACCAAATAAGCCCTTAATGGATAGAGTTTCAAATAGATTCTCCTCTAACGGAGTTCCAGAGCCACAATCAATAATCAAATAAAGTTTCAAAAAATAATATTTAAATTTTTTTTTCCCAAAATGGAGTCTGAAAAGGCATAATTAATTATGAAATGATAACCAGGTACACCTTCGAGCGCTACCCAACAAGTACCCGTATTTGGGGTTTTTGACTTTTGAAATCATCAGGATCAATCTTATGTATTTGGACCGCAAACAATATGAGTTGGAATTGCATTTGGATCTCTTCTCGTTTGGGAATTGACACAGGAATTGGCTCGATATATATAATTGATAATTGATATAATAATTGTTTCATGGCGGATAACTAGACATAGGTTTTGTGCATGATATGAAATTAAATAATAAAACTTCAATATCCTATGGCCCAGTGGCGCTAAGTTTTCTTGACTGGTGTTCTATATTAAATTTTAGGAAAAATTAATCTTGTAGGAGTTTTACGTGTGTGTCAAAAATAGTCTTACCTCAAACTTATAGAATTCTTAGATATATGCACTAAAATGAGAACGTGAGTGGGTAAATGTACTAAGAAGAAAAGTGCGCTTCCACACATAATAACATGCCAATATAGTTGAGATCCAGCTTTTTTCCCTACGTGCGAGCTAAATGCGATGTGGGGCACTTTAATTGCCATTAATTAATTTCAATTACAGTGTTCAGAAATGATGTCCATATTTAATTATACTTAAGCCCATTAAATTGTATTTAATTGTCCTTAAATCACCCATGATTTTTTAGCTTACATAAGCTTCTGCCTGCTTGCTGATTGTTTGGACACACAGCTCCAGAGTCTCGAGCTACTCTCTTCTTCATACTAACTTCTACCTTTCCTATATATATTTATGTTGTCCTGTCATCTTACTTGTCTACAAGAATGGTTTGTTTAATTTTAGAAAGCTGCCGCAATTTAACAAGTGTGGTGCGACATGTTAGATGATTTGCATATATTTTAGAATGATATCCTTGCATTATTGCATTCTTGAAAACTCAATTCTTATATTATTAGGCATTTCTAAGTAGAGTTAATTAGGGTCTATTCTTAGCTTAAGGGTATTTTAGTCACTTTGGGGACATTGACCTAGTTCATATCTTTTGTCTTCCTAAGTACAATGGAACAAGTTCGAGCTTCTAATTCATTATAGTTTGAAAAAAGATATCAATCTTAGGTTGTTCCTAGAAAAATACATTAATACTATGATGTCATATTTTGCAACCTATATAACCTTGAAAATAACATTGCATCTTATAATTTTGACTTGAGATTTTGTAGACATGTTTTGATAATTCTTATGTGTATAATTGCATATGCAAGCAAGGATTTGGATGAAGATTAAATGGCCAAAAGATTAAATTACAAGACAAACTAAAAAGCTAGAAGACCCTAAAGTGACATATGTGCAAGAGTTGGTTTAAGAAGCTTCCTATGACAATAAGCATGAAGGATTTTGACCAAAGTAGCCTTAATCACCTTTTGATCATATTTTTATAAGTGTTTAGTGAATTTTAATCAAGTATGAGCATCCCACAAGAGTTACATGTGCATCGAAGTTACCTAGCTTGAATGGTGACCACATTCATTTTTTAACCTCCTAACCAAGTTTTGTTAAGCAGTTTCGAATATTTTATGGTTTTGATTACTTAAAACACATCATATCCTACTCATTTTACACCCACACATGCTGAAAAAGAGGTTGGAGCCATGTCTCAGTCATTTTAACATTACAATTTACACCTATTCTCTTTTACTTTTATGAAATTTTAAGGTCAGTTCATCCAAATTTTCTTTCACTTTCCTTTACTTTTTCACACTTTCTTAGTCACATTCCTTCATCTTAATCAAGTATTAAAGCCATGGAAGTCATTTCAAGGAGGATTCAAACTTGACTTTAAGGAGAATTCACTATAAAAGGTTAGAGATTTCAAAGCTTACAAAGAATATGAAGTCACATCCTAAGTTCTTCTAAAAATTTTCTTTTGCTTTTAATTACTGTATGTAATCTCCTTACTCTAAGCTCTCACAATTCCCGAAATTAAGGAAAACAAGGGTTTAACCCAAATTGAGATCCAAGTTTTCACAAACTACACAATTGGGATTTCAAATTTTACAATGTTTAAAATACTTTCATACACTTCAAATGTATTCAATTTAGAGTTTCAAAACAAGGAAGTATGGAAATAAAGAAAACCAAAGCATTTGCATAAAATCCCCCTGAAACATTTGATTAAAAGTTCAAATAATGAATTATGCAGAAAAATGGCACATGTGCCGCGACTCATTGCACAAAATTTGATAGCAAACTGTTGCTGTCATTTGACAGCATAGGGATGAACTTTTGATACATCCTAAATCTCCGTCCAATGTCCAATTGAGGTGAATTTAATGTCTACACGGAGCTATCTTCTAGCTCTAGCTAATACCACAAGTTTCACATTCAAAATTATATTCTAGAAAGAGTTGGACATCCAAGCCCATTTTTACAAAAACTCACAATAATGGTGTCTAAACTTACATACAAGTGCCAAGATCCTACACCAACCACTCGACCACACAACCATACTCAATGAATTCTAATAGACTCATGTAACACAACATAACCATTCAAATGTGCATGTATCGAATTTTTGCCACTCAAACCCAAATTTCATAAAACATAAAGGGGGAAACTTTGCACCAAATATTCATTTTCATTTCAAACGATTCCAAAATACACATATCATTGCTTACGCAAATATTTTGGCCCTATACGAGATTTATAACCCAAACTTATTATCTCAAGGCACACAATACATAAGTTGTACATTATAGTAACACAAGTAGCCTAAAAATAATCATGTGAATCTTAGTTGGCAAATTAACAATGTTAATACACATAAAATAACATATTGAGGCATACAAAAAGGATTATTACTCTACAATCCTATGCCTCGGCACGTTTTTCCTGATCTTGATCTAATGAGTTAGGCCCTGAAAATATTAAGAATTGAGCGGTGAGTATAATCACTTAGTAATCAAGTTTCACCTAATTTATACAGTTGCATTTCAATTAAAAATAGATACAATTGGAAATTAAAACACAAGTCAAGCATGTATGAATATTATGGCCACGGTTCACAACATTAACAACTATGTGGCCAGATTTAAATGCATGATCGAATGCTAGCCTTATACCCTCCTGTTATCTCCGACATAAAACTAGTGGCTATTACGTGGCTACATCTTTCACAGACTAACCCAACTTTTCACTTGTGAAGAACCATCGGGCTAGAATTAATTCACTCACTTGTGTAACACAATTT